AAAAAAAAAAAAAAAAAAGTCTAAAAAAAAAAAAAACTGTACTTAGATAATAAAAGGAGGAGTAAATAATCATACTCTGTAACTTTTGTCCAGCTTTGAATTTAGTGTCATTTCTTTTGAACTACTTTTCCCATTTTCAACCCCCACCTTCTGACTCCAAAATAAAAATAACCTTTTGGTTTTTCAGATTATTTAAAAAAAAAAAGAAAAAGAAAAAGAAAAAAAGAGGCATGCTATCATTAGTAAGGAGTCCTGATGGTGGAGTGGTTACGCATTCAGCTGTTGACCAAAAGGTGGGTAGATTGAATCCACCAGCTGCTCTGTGAGAGAAAGAGGTGGCAATCTCCTTCCATAAAGATTTATAGCCTTGGAAACCTTATAGGGCAGTTCTACTCTGTCCTAAAGATTTTCTATGTGTCAGAATCAACTTGATGACAATATGTTATCATTAATATACATACACAAACACATGTTGTCACTTTAAGCGATAAAGTATTTTCATTAATGATCATTGCATTGGTTCTCTAGCACTGCTGTAACAGAAATACCACAAATGGGATGGCTTATCAAACAGGGATTTATTCTCTTACAGTTTAAGGAGGCTAGAAGTCCAAGTTCAAAGTGCTGGCTCTAGGGGCTGGGTGTAGGCCCCTGGACCTTGGGCTTCAGCTCTGCCTCCCGTTCTAGGCCCACTAGAGCTGGAGGTTTTTCTGACTCATGCAGTTACGGGCTGCTGATGCTGATAAACCTAAGATTGACAAGTAAAATGGCACAGTCTCAACACAGCATGCCACTAGTTCAAATCCAGGGACAATCTCAAGATCAGCAGACAACACGGCAGACCACTGAGATGAAAATTCAGCCAAATGCAGGATCCAGATTGCCAAAAGTTGAGACCTTTCTCAAAGCTTCCCTACATAACTAGAAGCAGGTTACACATCAAAGACAACTAAGTAGTTGCTCAAAGCAGATTCCACCACAGAGTCGATGCCAATCTCATCATGGGGAATAACTACATCCAGCTGCCAGCCATTCAAAACCACGGCTCAGCCAGGTTGACACATAACCTTAACTATTACAATCATAATATATGCGTATAGGTTATCCTCAGATTACAAGTGACCTAAAAAGCCATGCAAATTAAGTAGTAATAAATGATACACTAATATTTTAACCCAATATTCAATGACTTAAAAATTTTTTAGTATTAAAAGTTCTTTAATACTAACGTTGAAAAGCAAATAAGCTAATAATTGATCCTCACCAACTTCATGAAAAGTTCATTTTAGCTGGAGTTTTTAGTGGTATGCAATAACTTCTAAACTTTACACACTTAAAATTATTGCCCAGGCTTATATATTTTTCCAAAATAACTTCTAACAAGATAATTTACTTTCCTTTAATATTCAGTCAAGCGTTTTGGGGAATGTGGAAAAATACAATTCAGATTTCATTTTTTATTAATAAAAAATAATCAACATTCTACAGAACACTTTAGTGTAGGCAGTCAGTCCTATTTGTCACACAGCCATCAGCCATGCATACACTCTAACTTGGAAAAGTACTGTAAGAAATCCACCTGCTTAGGCCACAGTGCTGAAAATTTCTACCATGAGAATCATTCCTTTAAGTTACTGTATTATCTCCAGATTATATTTGTTAAGCCACTCGTCAGAAGGACGATTGGGCATCTACTTCTGTAGTGATATTGCCTCACAAATCTGAGGAGGGGTTGCTATGAGTCTGATCTGACTTGACAGCAGTGAGTTTGTTTTTTTTTTTTAAGTGTTCACTGGGTAAGAGGGATTGATTATACATGTGAAAAGAATAGCTAGTAACTTTTTAAGAACTAAACGAACAGAATGTACTCAGTTAAAATTAATTAGTAATTACATAGTCCCAGAGGACATCAAGCTCAATTGGCATAACATACTACACAAATCATTGTTCCACCTTCTACTGTGGCTAGTAGCGACTGAGATCTTAAAAGCTTGCAAGCTGCCATCTAGATGCAACAATGGGTCTCTCCTCGTCCAGGGCCAAGAAGAATGAAGAAAGCCAAAAATTCAGGGAAACAATCAGTCCTAGTGACTGGTACACCATCCGATCTGCAGCCTATACGACTATGAGACCGGAAGAAATAGATGGTGCTCGACTACTACTGTCCACCACTTGGAAAAGGATCTTTGTAGGAGATCCTGGATAGACAGGGGAACAATGTGGAACAAAACTCAAAATCATTTGGGGAAGAAAAAAAAAGAAGCGGGGAACAGGTTTACTGGCCCAATGGAGCCTGGTGGAACCACTGAGACTATGGCCCCTAGCTGTCCTTCAGGTCTGGAATTCAACACACACCTGTAGCTTCCGCCAAATAGTACACAGGCATACTAGTTGAGCATTTATCTGAGGTAGATACACTCCTTAGAGAGAACAAGTAAGAGAGAAAGAAGAGCTGCTCAGGCACAAGGAGACAGCTCAGGGGGTAGGAGTGCATGAAGGGATGGTGACAGGGAAGCGGTACCTATCGGGAGGAAGTGGGAGAGGAGATGTTGCATTGTGCTAAATTGTGGTCAATGTCATGAGACAAAGTGTATGTGATCTGCTGTATGGAAAGTATATTTGCTTTGTAAATTTTCACCCAAATCACAGTAAAAATAAAAATTAAAATAAAATAAATTAGTAATTAAACGTAAGAGTATTTTTAGCTTTATACTCTAAAGGAAAATGGGTTATACAGAGATCAAGTACTATTATAGGGTTTAAATATTCAAAATACTGACACTTAGCACTTACCTCCAAAATCTGACTAGCTCTAACCACTGAATGTCTATCAGTCTGGACTGCTATCCCTTGACTGGGGGATTGTGATGGAACACTTGAAGATGTCTAAAAAATAGAAAAACATGGGCATTTTTTGTCTAAAATTTAATGCAGATAAAAATTTAAAGATCACAAAAGCACTACTCAATGGACATCTGCTATATACTTATGTTTGATAAGCAAACATTTGGTACTACAAGTTTAAAAACAATTGCCATTGAGTTGATATTGACTCATGTGTGACAGAATAGAAACATGCTCCACAGGGCTTTCAATGGCTGGTTTTTCCTAAATAGACTGCCAGGGTTTTCTTTTGTGGTGTCTATGGGTGGACTCCAACTTCCAACCTTTCAGTTAGCAGATGACTATGTTAAGTAGTACCACAAGGTTAGTGATAGAGTTTTGTGGTTACTTAAAAAATGTCAGCACTCCAGTAGAGGAGCCTTAAAAGAGGTACCTGAGGTCTCTAACCTCATCCACATAGCAAGACCATTTACAAAATGCAAACAAATTCTTCTGGAAGCCATAATTAAATTGAAAACAACAATGTTCTAAAATGCCATAATGTCATAGATTCAATTTCATCACACCAAAATGTGTGTCAACTTGACTGAACTATGATTCCCAGTGGCTTAGCAGTTATGTAATGATGTAATCATCCCCTATGATGTGATTGTCCAATCAGTTGTAAGGGAATTAGGGTGGGATGCAACACACTTACTCAGGTCACAGCCCTAATCTAATGTAAAGAGTGTTTTCCTAGAATATGGCCTGCATCACCTTTTATCTTGTAAGAGATCAAATGAGAGACAAGTTAGCAGAGAAATGAGGACTTTCTATAATCAAGGAAAAAGAGCGCAGAACAGAATACATGCTTTGGACCTGGGGTTCCTACATTAAGAAACTCATAGACTCAGAGGAAAAATGATGAGAACAAACTTCCCATAGAGCCAACAAAGAAAGACCTCCCCTATAGCTGGTGCCCTAAATTCAGACTTGTAGTTGTCATACTTAACATTACAGCAGCAGGAAATAACTAAGACAGATATGAGAAATTTTTTTTTTTTTAAGTTTCATAATATGAGTATCACTTAACATTTTTAAAAATGCAATTATAATCTCTTATGCTCCATAAATGATTGATTTTTATACCCTTACCCAAGATTGGTCAAGTATTTCAAGTTTTTCCCATATTATTTTATCACTTTCAGATTTTTTCCATGGATTATTATTCCATTTTTCAGAAGCTTCTTTTTCTTTCTTCTTTAAAGCAACCTGTTCATCTGTAAATAATGTCCTTTTTTAAAAAAATGTATAAAAACTAAAAAAAAAAAAATCATGCAAGCAAATCATGACCTTCTTAGAGTGCAAATCCCAATACAGATCTAAACAAGTGTTTTTTAGTGAGATTAACTCACAGACAGAGAAGAATTTTAAAGGATATAGAATAACAGAAAATAATCAAACCTAAACTTAAATATGATACAAATAGATGTAAAAGTGCTTGTTTTGCTTATTACTACAATTAACAATTGTTGTTGTTGTTATGTGCCATCGACTTGAACCCGACTCATAGCTACCCCTCCTTGGGTTTCCAAGGCAATATCACTGCGGAAGTAGATTGCACAACCTTACTTCTGAGGAGTGGCTGGTGGGTTTGAACCGCCAGCCTTCTGGTTAGCAGTCAAGTGCCCTAGGTACTATGCTACTAGAGCTCCATAAATTAACAACAAAGAGCAATTTTAGTCAGAATAACTTATTTTGTATTATCCAAATTATTCTATTTTCTCATTATGTTCATTCACTTACTACTAAGAGAATCAAAAGCTAGAACTCTTGAGTCAGAAAACCCTACCAAGTCCAACTATTTCTAGGTACGTGACTAGGGGCAAATTGCTATTAACCTCTATAAACCTCAAATTTCTTATTCTATAAAATGGAGGTAATGGTAGTACCTGTTTCAGTAGGGCCTGTTGTTGTTGTTGTTGTTGTTATGTGCCATCGAGTCAGCCCTGACTCATAGCGACCCCTCCTTGGGTTTCCAAGGCAGTATCACTACGGAAGTAG